ATGTAACACTTTTTAGGTAAAAACAAAATTATATTTAATTACCAATTGCTTAATGGTGGCAGGCAATCATCTGAACCATAGGTGGTAGCCATCTCAAGCCAGAGGACGAGAGGACTCTAGCCGCCCGTTTCAAAGACCAATGTGGGCTGGGTTGTGGCCCATTGAACACGAATATAAAGGATTTATAGTGAAAAACTTAGTTTTTACGGGTTAATTTTTCGTACTCTTGTTTGAATGACCACGTAATGAACAAATTGGGAAATGGATGAATGTTAACAAAAAGCATCCACTTATTTATCTGAACCCATTGAAGCACTTCTCGTTTTGTGAGCACTATGTCCGCTCTTAGAATGATCGCCTTGTCTTTTTCTTGAATTGAGTGTTTTGTTGTTTTTGTCCGCTATTGCGCGTGCTTGCTCAAAATGAAAACAAACAGCAACTCAAGGACAGTTTTTTTTAAAAAATCTTTCTTCGTGCAGTAACTGGGTTGAGACTTTATGTTGCTGCTTGTGGTAACTATCCCAGTTGAAAAACAATTTAAGGTAAAGGCGTAGCCCTGAAGGCCGACCACTTGAAAGTATTCTGGTCTTCTTTTCCACGATGGCCAGGCCTATTGGAAGAGGTGGGAGGACCTAAACTTGACCCCACCACACATGGCCTGTCGATTGACTAACTGCTGTGTACCCATTGTTTGTTTATGCTGGATAGACAAGAGGTGGGGAAATTTAAGAAAAGTGGCCCCATTGTTTAAATTCTAGATAAATATTAATTTTTACTTTACCCTGGTGGCTAAAATATTTAGCAACTCAAAGGTGATGTGGCTCAGTACCTAGACACCAGAGGTGTGGACTCGAGTCATGTGACTTGGACTCGAGTCAGACTCGAGTCATGATTTTGATGACTTCAGACTCGACTTGGACTTGCATAACAATGACTTTGTCCCACCTCTGAGGTGTGGACTCGAGTCATGTGACTTGGACTCGAGTCAGACTCGAGTCATGAATTTGATGACTTCAGACTCGACTTGGACTTGCATAACAATGACTTTGTCCCACCTCTGCTAGACACTGTGAGCATTAGGTTTCTGAGCTACTCAGCCAATGTAGCCTCAGCTCACAGAGGCTTTTTCATTCATACTTACAGCTGATCTAATAACGGGGGACTTCCCCAAGCACGGCTGAAGCTCGGTGGTACATGTTGTTTGTTGTTTATTGTGAAAATTCCGTAACAGATCCTATGATCACTGTTTCATTGCTTTATTTTGGTGATTTCGAAAAGTTTACTGGTTTGGCCATGTTTGTTTGTTGTAGTACGGAGTAAGACTGATGGCCTTAATCTAAGTTGTCTTGTGGTTGTTGTTGTTTGACTTGCATCCCACTGGGATTTTTGCACAGCGTTGGTGTACGGTGTTTTTTTCTGCAATATTTTGCTGGATTTTCTTGGATTTCCTGTTTGCACTTAGTCACATATTCACTTTAAGATGTTTTCTTGTTCATATTTTAGTTTTTTGTTTGTTGCGGTTGCACCCGATTCAAGAGCCGAATGGCTCACAGGGCTATACCTAATAAATGAACTTGAACTTGAAGGACACTGAAATTGACTCTACTTTCTGAAACCTGCTCGTCTACGTGTTGACTATCCATGTGGCAGGGTTTCTCTATCGCTGTGCTAAAGCGCATGACACGAAGGTGCACATTTCCATTACGAATAATTGGTGCCAAGTTTATCTGAAATTAATTTGGTTAATTCTGGTATGTGTTGATCAGTGTGTTCCATTATACTCTACCACATTGGCCGTGAACTGAAGTTTGAACTCGCACAATTGCTCCAAATTGGGTACAAATTAGTTGCTTCGGCGAATGTATGCGATGAATAACAGGAATGTAACAATGCATCCATTCATAAATTAAAACCGAGTTTCAACACTTACAATAAATGCATCAAGATATGCGCAAAATAACTTTTAATTCATACATGATGAATGTAATTGGTTCACGTGACCCCTGCTGATACGAGGGTGGATACATTGACCACAGTCCATTAACTTAATCGATTATTTACCCTAGACGCATGACAATCGCCATCTAATGTATCCATTTACACCGACTACCATCAGCTTAAATACTTTTCTGTATCCAGAACAAGCAATTTAACAGCAACTTTTCTTGTACACGAAAGACTCATCAGTACTTCCTGAAGAAGATCAGTCGACCTAACCAAGGCAATGCATTCCTATTCCGTCAGAGTAAAAGACAACATTCATTACATGCCCCATATTGTGCACCACATGTCCAGGTTGTTAAATGCTTGCTTTTCTTTCTGAAATTCAGTAAGATAAATGCATAACCGAGAAAATTTAACATTTGGACAAAGTACCATCTCTTTAAATCTCAATAGACACATCCCCCCCATATGCTCAAAATGTCCCCCCCAATATATTGCTATAAAAAATTGCTATGCTATGTAAATAACAACAATTTGCTAAGCCTTGGCCACAATATCTGGACTTGTCTTCATATAAATCAATGCATAGACTTCTGTTTATATGATTGTGGTTATGGTAGTACTTTATTAATCCCTAATCTCTGCCATTACATACAATGAAACAAGAAATGGTAAAAAAAAAAGTAAAAACAGAGCAATGTAATACAATCCACTATTAGACATTATTGTAAAAAAATATATAAAAAGTCCATCCCACGTGTTAGTGATTTTAAAATATTTTAGGCAGGAAATTAGTTTTCAAATGTAGATATTTTTCTGGGTTGGGACCCCCAGACACCCTGGAAGATTTGGTCCCCCCCCATGTTGACTCCATGGCTACGGCCTTGATTTATTTTAATGACTTCTGGAGAACATTCAGTTTCACAATGGTTCTGTTCGGTAAAGTGGTAGGCAGGTTTGGAAGCCAGTAAGTGTAATGCAATTAGATTGAAATTGTTGAATACTGCTGCGTTAAGTATTATACAGAGAACACATTGTACACTGATAATAGGTTTCCCCTCCTTTTTTCTGGCAACAAAACAGGTGTTAAGATGTTAAAACACGAAACTGAAACCGTTTACAAGGAGTCACGTCTGCATTAACCACAATGCTTCTGGTCAGAATGCAAACAAAAACATACTCTGATCATATATGCATTGTCCTTGAAACTGATTGGTACACACCAGAGACAGCTTTCTTTTGAGCCTCGTCTCAAACGGTGCTAGACCAGAGGACGCCGTTTGAGACAATGCTCCTGATTGTGGACCAATCAGTTTCAAAGACAATGCATATATTATCAGAGTATGTTTTTTTTTGCATTCTGACCACAAGCATTGGGTTAATGCAGACGTGATTCCTTGTAAAAGGTTTCAGTTTGGTGTTTTAACATCTTAACACAACTGTTTTGTTGCCAGAAAAAAGGGGAAAACCCTATTATCATATTTTGGTACTGGCAAAGAAGATCCCATGACATTGTACACTGTATTATCATACAGTATCATCCAGCTGTTAACACGTCACCTTTCTCTATCGCACATTCAGTATATAATACACATTCCTTATTTTACGTGCTGTTTTCATATTTACGTGCACATTTAAACGCCGTGTAATTGTCATGTGCGCGAACGCGTGCGTGCGTGCACACGTGAGAAAGAGAGAGAGAAAAAAATCACTGTATTTTACACGAGCACACACACACAACGCTTTACAACATCTGACCGCGCGTGGCATGCATCAGGGATGTGTCTGAATTGTGAATATCGCCGTTGTTGAATTTGTGAATTACACCAATTTTTTATCTTGTCCAATGTGGGGTTGGGTTTGGAGTGGGGAGGGAGTGGTCCTTGCGCAAGAGTGAGCAGTTCGCAAAAAAAGTCAACGCGAATCCACGTTTTGGTGGTGGTGGTGGGGGGTGTGGGATGGTTGTCACTGCGGCCAATGAAGGGCGCGTGGATTGTGCGTCTGGCCAGAGCAGAGAGAGAGAGGATTGCGCCATCTTTGTGGCAGCCCAAAGTAGGTCAGTGGGACAAGCCAAACGCACAGGGCCCTGACATTGTTTGGTTAACGGATCCGTCCGCTCTCTCAATTTACCTTTGCGCTATTCTCTCTCGACATCCTCCCGGATTTCTATTATTTTGTACACTCGAACTGCAGTTTGTGCCTGTTGCAGTGTTTGTAGATTTAAATAATAATGATGTAATATTGGCAGGGCATAAATTGTATGCGAGTTAGATTACTATGCAAACAGAAAGAGGGACGTAACATTTGGGGGAGTGGGGAGAATCATGCCATGTTGCTTCGAGTTCTGCAAACTAAACATTTAAATTTGGTGACCTTCATGATAAAATGACTTGATTCTCTACGGCAGAATAACATTGTGACAGGAAACTACTGAATGTGTGGTATGATCTTGATTTTCAAATAGAATATGATATTAATGCCTTTGTTCATGGCTGACTCGAAAACAATAAATCAGTTATTTTTTTGTTCAAACTGTATAGAATGTTTATTAATTGTAAAAAAACGAATTTAAGAAAAAATATTTTTGCTGAATTGGTTATTTTAAATCAATGACTTAGCAGTTGTGGCGTGCACGATGGGTGAAATTGACGACGATTCTAATAATGTTGATCGTCACTTTGTCAATTATTTACGTTAGAAGAAATGTATTACATTTTCGAATTCAAATACATGGGGATGTGCATATACTGTAGTTTGATATATTCAATCGCCGTAATCTATTCACTGTTTATGAGCAAAATCTTGCATCTCTGGTGGTGGACAATCCCACGTGTTTCAGCCCATTTAGTAATTCAGCCTCCAATAACAACAACAAATCCTTGATATTAACAATTCGAGACCACACCACGCACAAATCCACCCGTTAGAATTAAGCAAATAATTCGTGCGCACGCAAAATTCACCGAAATCACCCCGCTGTGCGCAGCCTCGCAGAGGCTCAGTTTGGCATGGGTGGCCACCTGCGCGTCCTGCTGTTACATAATAGCACGTTCACAGTTCCATGTTCCGTGCGGGTCTGGACCACAGCTTAAGCTGCGCATCCCCATTGATAAACAGCGGTGGCACTGTGTGTCCTGTCAGCCAGCTAAATTCAAAGCTGCCAGGCCCTCTCAATCTGGTAAGTGGCAATTGCAGTTTCTGTTGATGTTGTTGTTGCTTCACCGTTGAGACAATGGCATGTTTTTGTTGGTGGGGCATGGGCACGTGAATTACATGAATATAGATGGTGCTATTTTTAGTTTTTATCCACCATAATCATAATCCAAGACTAAAATGAAATTTTCATTTGGGTGAGATGCAATATTAACATTCCAAAATTCAACGAATAAGTCGCCAGCCACGGTCGAAGGCTGTGAATGTTTTTGTATGTTCAGACGACAGCCATACAGTGGTGAGTGGCTTTAGTCATATAGCCGGGTAGCTGATTCTTTGAGGGTTTTTATGCTCATTGTGGGAGTGTACCGTCACGATAACTCATGAATGTTGCTTCTGGAGGAGGGTTATGTATGAACATAACACCGAGCGAGGATGCCGTGGTACCCAGTGAGCAGTGTACGTAAATAGGTTATGTATTTAAAAATAAATCAGTTCCATACGCAAGGGCTGTTCGCAGTACTGCGTAATGGAGCAGTGGCGGGAGGCTAAATTGTCAAGGATGCCCGGGCTGTGGTTTGGAGCTGGAGATAGTCAAGGGAATTGTGATGCCACGTTTGGCCATGTGCATCATTTTGGGGGCCTGCGAGATGCTAAGGGGGGCGGACGGGGAGAGGAGCTTAACTGTGCATTGGAGTGGTGGTGCCCTGGAAACCCACACCCTGCTGATATTTACATTGGGAAGGACGGGCAGTAGAGGTCGTCATTGTAACCAACTGCATAGGGCCTGTGCGACAGTGTATATGTACAGTCTCGTGTATGGATTTGTAACATAAAATCGCCATCGGAGGGACACAACTATAAAGCATAACACGGACACAACTGTAAAACATAACAGCAGTGTGTTGTCTCTTAGCGCAATTATTGAAAGTGTTAGGATCAAACGGATGAAATGAAGAGGCGAGAAAGAGCAGTATGGAGTGATTTGTAAAACTGAATTGGTTAATGAAAAGCAATTTAGAAATGGGTCTGAAAGAATAATGTTTCAATATCGTGTGCTGTGACATGGATATTGACAAAATGGAACAATATCTGAAAAGTGTGCAACTAAACATGGAGGCGTGGATGCTTAGAATTACACTAGGAGACAGCAAAAGAAATTGGTAGATCAGGGAACAATTGCAAATTGGAGACATCATAACACGTAGGCTTTCGCGACCAATATTATTCATAATCAACGTTTTTGGGTTTAGATCGCGTTATTTATAAATGCGTCGTAACCCTCCACCACCCGACACGGCCAATCAGTAAAAAAGTGTCATTCTGGCGAATTGCCCGATGATGCTGGTCGCAATTACCAGCGAAACGTCGTACTCAAATTGTAAATGTTGTGGTTTCGTGCTTCAACACACCGGTGGGCTAAAGCAGTGAACTAATTTGTCTTTTGTCAACGTGACACTTTTTTACTGATTGGCCGTGTCGGGTGGTGGAGGGTTACGACACATTTATAAATAACGCGATCTAAACCCAAAAACGTTGATTATGGAGACATCATATTACCTGTTAAGAAAAAGAAAGTGGGATTGGGCGGGACACTTTTCTAGATGGAGTAATGGTAAATGGACGAGGCTGGTAATGGAATGGCAGCAAAGGGAGAGAATGCACCTGAGATGCGGTGGAATTGGAGTGATGAGATCAGCTGATGTGCGGGGGCAATGCAGATTGTGGCATCTCAAGGCCACAAGGGATGGCGAGAGCGTGGGAGAGAGGTTTTTATAGAGCTATGGATGAACATTGGCTGATTATAATTATAAAATGAGACTTGTATTTGTTGACTAAAAGTGTAACGAAACAATGTTAATCTGTAGTCGATAGTGAATCAATTTCAGTATTCCATAACGGTGGTGCTTTTGCATTTTTACTATTTAATCTTCAGTGTAATTTAGGATTTGTAAGGTTATTGTGATGAATCAGCATTGGCCAACACTGTATGAGCTTAATGCACTCGAATAAGATGAGGGTTTGTGTAACTGATGAGAATGAGGTTCTCTATTTGAAGAGGGGACTACTATTTTAAATTGGCATGCAATGGGGTGTTTTCGCTGGAGCAATTCCAATGATATTTCACCATTATAGTTTTTTTGTGCTATGTTTTAACAAGTTGATGAATGGTTGTACCTGTAGCAAATGTGATCACAAACAGGAATACACATACTGCATGTCTGTATGTGTGTGTGTATATGGGTTTGTATCGAATCGTGTGGGAAGCAATAGCGCAGTGACTAGCGCACTGCGATTCTCGCTCACGGCCAACATCAGTGACGAATATTTAAACCGGTCCTAGGCATCCACTCGGTCGACTCAGCCTCAAATGCGTAGGTGATATTTGTATTATGAATACTGCCATTATGTCAATTCGACAATCTACTTATGTTTTATAATGGATGTAGAAGGAGATCAGATGGCATTTGGTGAATATTTACATTTCCTTGCACTAATATCCAGCCATTTAAAATGTGTATTGTGACACTCACACATGTTACCAGTCGCGCTCATCATTAATGCATGGCGCACAGAAGATTTGTTGCACAACATTTCTCTGCACTACATCTATTCTGCGTGGGAGTGAATATTTATATCGCAGATTCAGAGTTAATATCGCATGTTTAAGGCACGCTGGTAAATGTTTTGGACCGGCTCAGGTGTACGCTTTGGTGGGTGAATAACTGCCTGGTTTTTAAGGTTGCAGTTCAAGGAAAGTGTCGTACCGCAGATGTGGTCATGTTTTTGTTCTTTCCAAATTGCCGTCTGTGAACATTTAGCAGGTTAAACGTATGCAATGCAGAGCGTATGTGTTAGTTTGGGGGTGAGAGGATATGTTAAGTGTAATGTTTGAGATTGAAAGCGGTTTATTTTGTCGACCTAAGTTGAAAGAACATTTGCAAGGTTGCATAGCTGGCAGAACACATGCGTGTCACACACATCACGCACGCCTGGATATGCCGTGCCCTTGACACGTATAGGGATACTTTGAAATGTAGACAGTATGTGGACTATATGCTGTAAAAAATATATTTCTAGTATTATTTACAGATATTTGTCAAGCCACAGAGTTATTTGACCATACTTCACCACAATAAATAACTCAGGTTGAAGAAGCACCGGTTCTGATGTCGAGAATCGATCTCAGGTCACCGAGTTCATAGGCTGCCGTGATAATGAATCAATGCACCAAGGCTCTCCCACTGCAGATATACTTACACATAAATCACATATACAGTACGATACATTCAGTATGTATTATACTAGTAGGAACCTCCTGGTTATACCAGCCCACAGGGGATTATTGTGTCCGTCCGTCTGTCGTGTATCCAAAAATGGGAGGGGTGGGGCTGGGTGGAGAGGGGAGGGTGGGGAGGGTGGGGAGGGGCTTGGAGGGGCTGGGTGGGGCTGGGTGGGGGGTGGGAGGGGTGGGGCTGGGTGGGGAGGGGCTGGTCACCCCGTGGTGCCCTTATAAAACGCAACGTTTAACCTACTCACGCCGGCTTGTGCCCGCCCTCACAGTCGGCCATATTTGCGGAATACACCACGCCGCCGTTGACCCTGGCCATTGACCGAGCAACCCAACGTTCCTACCAGCTCCCTCCGCAGGAATGTGTTCTTCTACGTATCTGCTAAACTCTATACTAATGTATGAATATGCAGTACTGAGCTGCGTGAATCTCACAAGATTTGTTGTCTGCACGGTCGACTTGGGGCGCCCATATTTTGTCTCTGATGTTAACAGAAGTCTGTCGCACCGTAGGAATCTAATGTCGACCACGTTACGTCGACGACGCTTTCTCCCCCCCCCCCCCCCCCCGTGGCGGTTCTGATGACAGAAATCGTCTCGGCAAGCTTGTGTCGACAATATAAGTGTATGTGAAAATGTAAAAGCCCCACAGGAACAGCAGTCCACACCTATAGCGTTGTTTGGATAATCACTTCAGTGAGTACTTCGTGTGTGTAGCATTGGTTAATCTCGTGGGAGTAATTTCATTTGCTCTATTTCCGGGCCTCAGCTTAAGGATGGTTTTAGTAAAATGGCAAGTGAGCAGCAATTACAATGGAACGATCGGCTGTAGTTGATGATTATGGTCCCTAATTAAGATACAGTAGAAATTAGTAAATTGTATAATAATTGCTTGTATTAAAATGCAATGAATGTCAATTCACGTTGGTGATTTTTGTAGTTAATCAGCATTAACTTACATTTTCAGATTGTGACTGTTTTCATTTGCAAGCGTTGGATACAACCTGCATTGATTTCTTCATAACTTTTAACAAATGTTTTTGATCATCATCATCATCAGCCATGATTAATGAACTGCTGGATAAAGGCTTCCCCAGGGTGTCGCCATCCCTTGTGGTCACATGAAGCAATGATCCATCTAGTGGCCAAATAAGCGCGAAGAAGTGCACGCTTGAAATTACACTTGTAATGAGACAGAAACACGACAATGAGTGAAGATGTATGTTGAACTTCGTTCGCACCGTACCTAGCCAACAGTGATAATCGGAGGTGTGAAGGTATGGGGGAAGGACAACAAACTAAACACAAAAAGTCGTTCTTAAGAAATGAGTTTTCCATTTAGATTTTAAAGTGCATAGCTCCAGTGGCTTCCTAATATTGGAAGGAAGAGCGTTCCAGACGGCCACAGAAGTGCATCTGAAAGCGCGCGATGCAAGTGACCGTCCTTGTTCAGGATCGGTCAGGAACGAAGAGACGAGGCACAGGGCAAGAGTGGTGGTACTCATCTCAAACGAGAAGAGAGAACGTCGATTCAGACTGGGAGGAGGAGAACGTGAGGCTTGGGCCTCTAAGGGATGATGACCGGTGATCGAGACAAATGACAGAAGCGGCAACCAAGAGGGCGCCCATCGTAGAGATGGAGCTATGCAATTACCAGCGAAACGTCGTACTACTCAAATTGTACACGTTGTGGATTTACGCTCCAACACACCGGTGGGCTGAAGTCGTAACTA